GTCTAGCAAAAATGGTTCCTGTCCATTAACAGGTCTTCAGTACCTCATCTCCTTGCCTCCGCTGGACTTCACCCATTAAACCCTTCGCAGAACTAAACCCCTATACCACAATCAAATAAACCTCCGAACAACTTTGCAAGGAGAAGGTGACCTGGTTTAAGGAACAAGAGAATTCCTTGATATCAGGTCTTACGGAATAGTGAAGTAGACTCCAGCATTTGTCAAGTCCCTTCCAGCCCTGCTATTTCTATATAAGTAACAGATGAACAAGAAGAACCTGCTTAGCTCGCAGTTTACTTGGGAATTTGATCCGCCTCTTGCAGCTCCATCACCACCTCCCAAATGAGCACTTGCAGTTTGATCCATGCAGTCAACCCTCACTTTGGGCTAACGGGGACAGCTGCTCTGCCCCCGTCCACCCGTGGGACTTGCAAAGGAAGGAGGGACGGTTTTCCTGTGCAGGGTGGTCAGAAAATAACTATGGTTTCATATGACAGCTGAACAGAAAAAACTCATCTCCGGTTGCTGACTTGCACCCCAAGCTGGTAGAAATGCCTCCATTAAGCCAGCGAGGCAGCCCACAGGTGAAGGGATGTCCAGCATCTAATACAAGGGGCGGTGGAACAACCCTCATCTCCCAAAAGCAACAGTGCCACGGGGACATTTCAAAATGGTCACCCAAAAGGTGCCCCCAGCAGTCTTAACGGTATGTAAAGTCTTTGTAATAAATACCACATCACCGCTGGACTATCTGCTGCCCTAGGTCCTCCCCTGACGACGGCACAAGCACTTTTGGATGTCATTAGAAGGTGGCTCAGAAGTTTTTGGGCACAAGACCTCTGACAAGCAGACCTTTTAGGGTTATTTTTCCTCCTAAACCACCCCATTAGCAATGTTAGATGCTGCTTCCCATACAGGAGGGAGAAGGGTTAACCCGGCGGGGGGGTTGCTGCAGCACTGCAATTCAAGGTGCTCCCTCCAGCGCAATGGCTGAGTGTTCTCTTCCCAGCAGTTACTGGCTTGAGAGAGAATCAAACTAATTACCTTAGTAATTACCAAACTAATTACCTCTCTAATTACCGAGTGTCTTTGTTCACATGGAGCTGACATTCTTGCAGAGGAGCCCTGGCTCAGTGCCCCACGCTCTCTGGGAACCTGCCTGGCTCTTTCGCAATGACTTGAAGACCCAGGTCCTCTTCACGCCATGGCCCTCCTCTCACCATGTTCAGGATGTCTCCCTCTTCCTCGGGGAGATCTAGTTCCTTGGCTGGTGAGCGCAAGTTTGCATTGCAGTGACCGTTTTGCTGCCAGGCAGACTATGGAAGGGCACGGTACCTCTGCTGCGTATAGGTTTCTCTGGTGGGAATATCCTCAGCACAGTGCTGTGGGATCACCACCACACTGATGATCAAACTAGAGACGTACTTGCCTCCGGGCCCTATTTAATACTGCTCCCTCCCATGAGAAAAGCAGCTGGGAGCAAACAGGAAGGTGACTTGAGATGACAGACATTCCTCTCCAACACAGAGTTGAAAACAGCAGGGTGTTCACCCAGCAAAACCCAACGTGAACATCGCTGTCAACTTACCTCGCCTCCCCAAGCTTACTCCCTTTTCATTTTCCAGACCTCTACTTGAATTTTGCCTTGGGCTCTCAAGAGCCAGGGTCTGGTAGTCACTGCTCTCCTGAACTTCAGTGTAATTGGGTGCTTAGCCCTGAAAACAGCCCCCAGCTCTTCAAGGAAGAATCACTGTTCTTAAAAGCATGAAGACAAATGGTTTCATTAATGCTGATCGTGACCTGCAGAGGATTTTGTATGAAAGCATGTTAGAGCCTGAACACAGAAAGGACTCTCATGGCTGCAGGATGGAAGCCCACCTCGCGCATGCCCTCTCTTGCTCTCTCCTTCCACAGCCTCGTCTCTTGTGTCTTCAGCCAACTTCTGAAACAGTGTCAGCTCAACACAAACCTTTGCAAATTATGAACTGACCAGCTTACAAAGTTCACTCCTGCAGCCGTTTGCCTGCAAATGAGAAGACACCCAAATCTAAATCCTTATCTGATTTTAAGTGCCAACACCCACCTCTTGATCAAATAGGATTTACTATGGGCAGGTTAGCTGAAATGCGTTTTCAACTGGCATGGGACAAACACGGGATGATTTCTGGGTCCTGCAAATGAGATTCGGCACACGGGGCAAATGACTTCGCACCTCTCTGCTTTCTCTGTCCCTGCTATTTGGGAAGCAAGGCCGCCTCGCTCTGTCCCAGTGGTACCTACTGCGATGAATGGCTGGTTTTGGTTAGGGATCCCTAGGTGCTCATAGAGTGGAAAGATGCATATAAAGAAAACACTAGAAATAATTGGTTTGCCTTGCCCAAACCTGATCAGCATTCACAGCTGAGGGGAAGACCTTGCAATAGCTTGCACAGAAGAATATTGTCTAGAATTTGTTATTTTGGAAAGCAAAACAAACAGGATAGAAAAGGGAAAGGCTCCCCCTCCTATCACTTCTTCAGCTTGAGAGATGACATGTAACTCCATCAGACAGAGTGCACCTAAAACTTTAGAGTCTCCCCAAAAGAGCACAGGATCTAAAAGAGAACAAAGCAGTGGCCATCTGAGCTGTAAAAGTTATCCCAACCTGTAGCCATCTCCACATTAAAACTAATCCCAAATATCTGCTTAAAACTGTAACATAGGGATATCCTAACAGGTGAAACGCCCCCCCTCAGCTCTGCAAGGTTATGTGATCTGTCTCAGACACACATGACTCCTGAGGAAACGAAGTCTATTATTTGAAAGAGTCTAACGCTGCTAAATTACATGAGAGTAGGATAGCAGTGATTATTTTGACACCATTGAAAGACTTGTGATTTGTTCCACAGACACTGAGCAAAGAACAATGAAAAGCTTTGATTTAGCTGTTACAATACTGCTTTTCCATTTAAAACCCTAGGTAAAACTGCCTTTTGGTTACAGCTAATCAGAGCTTGTGAATGACCAACAAGAACATCTGAAATTATTCTCTACCATGGGCAGAGAGTGTCATGCCTTCATCTATCATCCCTAGAGTATATCACGCCTATCACCCCTTCTGAGATCAGGATCCATTAAGCTGAGTTGAAATTCTCAGTTTGGCCGTGAGCAATCTTAGAGCGATCTGGTTATTTCTGAGAAGGAGGGAGACCTCCCCACAGGTTTTCCATTCTAAAAAAAGAGAAAAATGAGAAACTTCAAAGATTTTCATCTTGAAATGGAGCTACAAGGTAAGCCTTGGCTGAAGAACATTGTCCAGAACAGACTAGACCCAGTATTTTTTTTTTTTTTATGGTACCCCAGTACCATAAACAGTAAGCTGCTCCTCTTGCTTCTGGTTCTTCAGATCCTATGAACCTTGCTTTTTTAAATATCATTAGTCCAGTTTCAAAACAAAAGATGGCCAATGTCTCTATTTTAGGCAGACCTACTGCTTCCTTGAGCAGAAATGTCCACCATCACCTCTCAACTCTGTTTTCAAAAGAACAGTGTCCTGCTGGATGTCCATAACAGCAAGTGGGGAGGAGGAAGAAGTGAAAGACTGATGAAAAGGACTAGGATGCAGGTACGCAGGAGGAGGGGTGGCGATGGCAGAAGAGGTGGCAAACTGAAGCTCACTCCAGAAATATTCAGAACTGCTGCTCTACTTTAAAGGCAAAAGTTGCCCACAACATGGACAGTTTTAAAGTCTGCACCGTTTGCCACAATCAGCATGCCCCAAGCTCAAGCAACACATGCTAGAGATGCCGCTACTTATGATACAGAAGATGTTTAAAGAACACAGCATCTCAAATGAAGCCCGAAACACAGTTGGAACAAAGCAAGCAAGACTGACTCCCCTTGCTCAAGGCTGTCAGGATGGGAAACCAATAAACATTTGGCAATAACAGAGACCTTCTTTCCCGACATAGCTCTTCTCCTGATTTTACAGAATCATCTGGCCTTAAAAACGTCTGCTTTTCCTCTATGCTGCATTTTGCTGCCAATTCTAAGTCTGGCAAGGATGGATCTGCCAACTTCTTGGCTCTCTGTTACAAAAGAGAACCTTAGAAAGGAGAATTTGTGAGTTAGCTGATTTGTAAACACTACAGCAAGTCACCACGTAAACATGTCGCTTATGTTCCTATTATTTCTGTCAAGCAGCTTACCTGGCACCTGACGCTGAACTCCAGGATATTCCTCTCCTACTGGTACTACAGTTGCTTCCCATGTAAAAAAGCCCAGCTTCTTTTTGTAGCATTAAAAAAAAATAAATCCTTAATTAAACAGTACTCACAAAGCATCTTGATAATTAGAATAGGAGAGTCACTGGGAATATTTTGAATATAAATGAGATCCACAGGTGCACTCGCAGTTGTACAGTAGGATGCAGTTCAAATGTAGCCAGTTAGAGAAACAGAACAGGTAAATAAATAGCAGAAGGCTCTAGACACATTGCTCATTTGACACTGTTACTATTACTACTGGGTAAAAAATATTTTCAAAGATTGCTTAGTAAGATGAATGCAGCAGTCGTTATCTGAACAAAAACAGTTAAAGGAAACTGGGTACTTGCATAAAGATGCTTTGCAGTTTTGGGCACTGCATGCCCTTTCATTCACAAGTACTTGCCAAGAAAGGAAAGTCTGGTGGTGCATGAATCACAGCACACTATCACGTGGGATCCTTCTGGGTTGTGGTGATGGAAAACAGTTATACGTAAGTACCGTTCCTGAAACCAAGGTTGGTTATGCATAGAAGTCTATGCTTTAAAGCTTCAGCAATAACATCTGCTGGAAAAACATGATTGACACAGCAGAGGGAACACCATCCACCTCTAAGAAGTGGAGAGAGAGACAGACTGAAACATCAATCTTGTGCATAAAATATATTTATTGTTGGTACAGAGCGAGGCATATTCGTCAGTACTTGATAGGAGTGAGGAGCACAACAGAACCATTTCACGTAAACAAAGGCCATGTTACATCTTAAGTGTTGGATCATCAACATCATTCCAGCAGAAGGCCTGGAGAGAGACTTCATTAAGTTGCACAATTTGTGAAATAAGTTAAAGCACGATTTATGTCATTATACATTGTAAGTAAAACCTTAATATGAGCAACAATACAGGCTGTACAGTATGGAGCAGCGGCTGACTTGTTCAGAAAGTACCACCACATCCCGGCACACCAAGTGTTACATACCCATGCCTTTGACAGTGAGAAGTTTTTGAGGAGATTCTACACTGAAATAGCAGCATTTAAAGGATATTTCCCCTTTCTAAGGTCAGTGAAAAGTTCTTTTCTTTTCCTTCCTTCAATCACCAATAAGTGGATTTTACTACGACTGAACAGTATCTTCGGATGTATGATTTCTGATGTAATAAGATACAGGTCTTGGCTTTTCAAATGGTCACACTGATTGAGCCGTGATGGCTGCTGCTCTTGAAATGGCTCTTCCAGTTCTTCTCTTTATTGGTCTGCCCTGTAAATGGGCTGTCGTATCATTCTTGTAAATGGGCTGTCATATCATTCTTGGGAAAAAATGCTCTTCTGCTGAAATTAGAGTTGATGGTCTTGTGCTTGATTTGGACAATGCCTTTATCCTCCTCTCCCAAGCATGCTCTGCTAAGAAAATGGTCGGGGGGAGGGAAAGAGAAAGGGAGAAACACGTATTTCAGTAACCCAAAGTTATTCCAGAGACTCCCTGAAGTTTGGCTACAATTCCCTCCTAGGATTTGCAATTTTTTTAAAGAAAAATATAGAAAAAGTAACATTGTCAACATACACATCACCACAGAGACAAGTCACAGAAGCAGAACGAAGCTATTTGAGGACTCAACAAGCCAGCCATTTGGAGGCCTGGAGAGTTGCAGTAATGATTCCTTTTCATCCATCCTAATGCTATCATGGCTCTAGTGCTATGGCTATTAAGGAAATTAAAATGTCTGACCTTACAATAAGATGAATCCCGTTCCCAACAATTACATACTCGAGGAAATATATCCTGAAGTCATACTACACTAAGTATCTCCCCTACCTACCTCCTTCCTGTGTTCTGAGTCATAATCAAAATCTCGACAGTCTGAACACGTTGCACTGACCTTGCGCTTCATTAATCACCTCCTGTGCACAGTCAGGCCACCAAGAGCTAAAAGTATAGATCTGTCAAGTAGTCTAAGAGTTATTCCTCCTGCCTCACCAGAGAGCTCTTCCATCAAGGTCTTGACTCTTCAGAGAGGTCCTGGCCTCTACCATGAAAATGCAGACTTGCGAGGACAGTATGTAGGGCCCTACTAAGAACCTCCTACTGCCATGATCTAGAAATAAAGGGTCTGCAGAAAAGAGCACATGTATGGATACTACTTGTCTCGATCAGTAAGGAGAACAGAAAGTGGGATTTAATAGGACACTGACAGGCTAGGCAGCAAAAGCATGCTGGAGGCCATCTATGTTCACTGGAGGACTATGATGTTGACCAAGGCAATCTATTGTTCTTGCCTAAAAAATCCATAAAACGGGGAAGACAGTAATTATGAGTCTCCTTGTAAGAAATGGTAGGAAGGGATCTGATAATTTTTAGGGCTTATGTCAGGAGCAAGCCCAAATGTAAATCTTGAAATCTTACAGGAGACCTACAAACAGCTGAATCAAGTATTTGAGCAGCAGTATCCGTCCAGACAGGGCACATTGTCTCCAGAATGCGTGGTAGAGAAGTACACGGTGACAAAATAAAAAGAGTTGGTTTTATGCTCCCTAGGTGCTATTACAGACAAAAATAAGGGAAACTTTTATTAGTTAACAAAATCTGCAATCTCAGTTTGACAGCATCCCCAACGGAGATTTCTGTAAAACTGATGAAGGCTACTTTACCTGGAAGACTTTTTGCAGTGGTATTACAGAAACTTGCTCAAAGCCATCGCTGGGCTGAATATTAACTTTACGTAAATTTAACACGGCATAAGTTACCGTAGGAAATTCCCCAAAGATCTGAAAAATTGTGTTACTTTTCTTTTATTTAGTGTCCTAAGGAAAAAAATCACAGGTATTTGTTCATCACACTCATATTTCTGCCCACAAAATTTCATCTTCAGACAAATGGGAGTGTTCCACGGCTTGCTTTGGTTTTGTCTACATTTGGGGTTTTTTTTAATGTTCTTTACTGACTCTTGCCATTTAACATTGCCTATGAATTTACTTCATGTATTTAAATTTTTTTTTCTTGTGTTTTTTTTCATTACACCAAAGTAGGTGTGAAGGGAACCTGGTCTGACTCTTCCATAACAAACTTCCTTCGATCAAAGTAGGGTTAAATGCTGGCCATAAAAGACAACGCCTTTTTATTGCATTTCAGTTCAGTGTTTCCAGCTACACTAATTTTACATATTTTTCTATTAGATTGGAAGATGGTATCTAGTAAAAATACTGGAGGATGAGGCTAAAATAATGGTTTTGTTCTGACTAGGATGCATGATTAAGGACCACTCTATCCTACAAATTAAAATAATGGTTACAACAAGGCTGAAGAGACTGAAGGATAACATTTTGTAGCCAGGCTGTCAGACACCAGCAGCTGTTGGTATCATTCTTTGAAGTACTTTCAAATCTCACCTGCCTGCAGAGACTTGCATCCCTCTGAAATTCAATGGCCTAATAGGAAACTCTTGCACAGACTTCATTAAGCTATAGTCTAGTTGTGTTTCCATATAGGAATTAGGACTCCCTGTAGCCCAGGAGAAAAAAAAAAAAAAAAAAAAAAAAAAAAAAGGGTATTTTAACAGCCACCTTGTCCGTATCAGTGGACAGCAGACTAGCATAAGTGATTAAAATGCCACTGGACGGTCCGTATTAGTGCAGTGACTGGCCTGGCTGGAGTTACTTCAGCAGTAGGAGCACAAATACATCCCACAGACAATCCCAATATCTTCCCCTTAATGGCTCCATTAAGTAAGTTTTTCTCTCCGTTACTATTATAATAAAATGCAAACATCAATAATAGAGTTTAATTTATCTCACTAGCTTCTCATGACTTTGGGAAAAGATGTAAAGTGAAGATACAACAGTGTGTCAAACTCCTCTGAATTAACAGCTCTCTGGGCTTTTCTAACAAGGGGAGAAAAGGACAGATAGAGACATGAGATTACAGACAGGATGAGAAATAAGGAGCATACAGAAGAGAGGGTGAGATAATTATAAGCAAGATAGGAAAGAAAGAGGAGTCAATAAATTCAATTTATGAAAAGCACAGAGTGTGCTCAGCCTGAGCACAAGTGCCCAGACTCACCGCCAGGAAATCGGATTAGTTAACTTATTTGGTTTTCAATATCTTGGTCTATTCCCTCTAGCAAATTTTCTTCTTTGTTTGTTTCTTGTAGCCAGTGTCAGTTAACTTTTTCATTTCTGAATCTGCTATTTATCCCACTCTTCTGTCTCCCAACCAAGCACAAACAGTAGGTAATTTTGAAGTATTTTATAACAGCATTTAGCAATTATTTCAAAGTAACTGTTGTCTGGACTTCTGGGCAATCAGCGAGTAAAAATAATTACAATTACAGCTGCAACACATGGAGGATGAGCTATAGAGGACTGATGTTCACCATGAAAAACAATTTTTTTCCTGCTTGCAAGTATTTCCATCATAAAAGGCTTCTCTTTCTCTGTTATCATAAGAGAGAAACCTCTGAATTCTCATCTTGAAGCATGTGTGAAAGGGAATAAGAAACATTTAGGAAACACTTTTAACTACTTGACAGGCTTGGTTGAAGATCTTCAACAAAAAAGGTGTTTAAAAGGGTGTTTAAACTTAATGCTCATATTTATGCCATTTCCTTTTCCTGCACCTTCTGAACATGAATTAATTCATCCTTATCATAGTCTTCTGAATAAATTCCTATCAGATACAAACTTTAGTTATAGCTTAAACATGTATAAGTAATTAATCTAAATTTTTTAGTTACTTTAAAAAATAATACAAAATTATAAATACAGTAAATCAGTGTTCCAGATGATGCAAGCCACAGTGAAAATCTAGTCCACTACATCACAACCTAGTATTACTCACTAGCCTTTTTTCTAAAATGTCTCTAACCCACCCATGGCCCAGTACCTTCAGCTTGGATTTTGGAATACAAAAATCACACTGAAGGAAAACTTAGAAGAAATATAGACACCAATTATTGTTTGTCATAATAGGAATTAACGAAAAAAATTGCAATTCAGTTTGAAGAAAAAAAAATCCAGTTCAAAAGATCATGGGGAACTGTACAACTTAGGGAAGAAGGGGATGAGCAAAATTTCCTAGCTGGAGCCATAGCCCAAGGAAGGCACCTGGACAAAGCTGGTTGCACTTCTCATGCTCGGGTGTCTGAGCATGGCTCAACCATCTTTCCAAAATTAATAAAGTGTCAGTAGCTTTATGAAAGAAAGCCTCAGGCTAGGACATCAGGAAAAAATTTCATGAGCAGGGAGATCTGGCAGGCTGTAGAGTTTTTAAGGAAATGAAGGAGCTCAGGGGCTTGGTGCATTAACAAGGGGGCAGGAGGACATATCGACAGAGGAGATATCAAAGGAGGTGATTCTGAAAGGGACAGGGTGATCTCACTGACTTTTATTTTTTCATCACATGGATGCTCTTTAAAGTTTTCACTGATGATGACAATGTTTAATATCATAGAGTTTAATATCATGTTTAATATCATAGAGCTGCCCGGACAGCCAAATTGTCCTCACCCTGCAGCGTTCAGAGAACAGCCACACTACAGCTGTTAGCTGCAGTTGTCTTCCAGGACTGCCAATCCAGTCTGCCTGTGCAAAAAGGAGCACGCTAGCTGTATAAATAAAGAATTAACAATAACAGCACCGCACAAATGTATTAAGCGCTACGGGCTGAGGAACACCTTTAGCTGCCACGCAACCATTGCCTCCTACCACGTCTTACATGGCACTAGACCATGAGCAGTGTTAACTCCAGCAAGATCTTCAGTAATACCAGGGCAAGACTGCACCAGTGTAACAGCAAAAAGATCACTGAGAATGATCACAGACAAAGTCTTTTCTGTACTACTTTTCTATACAGGCAGAATTAACTCAAGTGAAAATGATTATTGTTATCAAATACTAGACGTGCTTGTCAGGTCTCTGCTAACCCACTAGAGCATGCATTTTCACATGTTCAAATACTAACTCATAGATTTTAGCAAAAATAAAGATCAACAGACTTATTTAAGCACTTTTTACATATACTACATACGTGGTCTATAAACACATTTCCAACTGGCTTCTTTAAGAACACAACTGGGGTCAATATATGCATCTCTATATTTGAAAGACGTAAGCTGATGAAAAAGGATAATATTTAGAAATTTTAGCTTCTTCTAACTGCAAGCTGTACATATTACTGTCATTTTCCCTTATGCTGCACTAATAAAGCATAAAGGTTTTAATCTACAGTAACAACCCATACCCCAGAAAACTGGACAAGAGGAGGACAAGACCAGGTAAAGGGCAGCATTAGACTCTCCAAGTACGTAACATAAAAGAAATGAAGACTTCCAACTGGTGAGCAATCTAGTTTGAGACATCCATTCATCTATCATATTTATGACAAATAGTACCACGTAGTTTAATCCCCTTGTTTTACTGCTAAAACTGCAGATACCAGGAAACATCTGCTGACAGTGACAGCTACTACACTGAACAACAGATTCCCAAGGGAAGAGATGGAAACCCTGGCATTTAAATGAATTGCAAGTGGACTCCACAGAGCCTGTGAGAACATACATATTGGGAACTGTACTGCTTTAGCATGTAAGAAGGACTAATTGGATAATCCGATAATCTTCCTCTCTTCTTCATTCCATCGTTATTTTGGTAGCAATATTTCTAACTCACCTGTTTGGCATGATTGACACAACGCAGGTACTGGCTAGCCAGGGCAGAGCAGCTGAGGGTCTCCTGAGCGTGTTGCCGATAACACTGTAGAATTTTATCCTGAAGATCAGCGCAGATTGGATGAGACTCATATCGCCTAGGGAAAGAGAAAGGAACTTTTTGGTTTCCTTCTCAAAAAGATTTCAGGAAAGATGCAAATCTTTTTTTTAATTATCTTTTTTAAAGAAGTAAACTAAATAATAGAAGTGAAGGAAAACATTTTAAAGTTATAAAGAAAGGCTGTTTCTAGACCTAGTTGGGTTATAAAGTGGTAACATCAGATGCAAACATCAACATGAGCCGCAAAAGTTTGGCTATTAGGACCACAAGTGTCCTCCTGATCCAGTACTCAGGTTCCAGCTGGCAGAGAAAATTTAACATCCAACTTCATATGAGCACACACCTTCAACTGAAGATCCCAGCAATGACGAAGCACAGCTGACCTCACCTACGTTAGAAAAACAGTCACAGAACCACAGGAAAGCTTCATTGCTGTATAGCCCTATGACCATATAGTCTTGCTACTCATTAAATATTGTTCCTGCATAAAAGTGAAATCACCCATTGGGCTGACCTCGAGAATATAAAAACCCTGCTACCATCAGCGAATTACACAACCTACTTTTGCTGCTCTGATGACAGCCTCTATTTTTGGCGCATCCTCCTTCCCATCACCTCAATTCTAATCCCGATGCCAGATGTGCAAGTTATTTAGGATTTTTTTCTATTTTCTTTACTGTATGGATTCATTACTCTTGCCATCTTTTTGGCTGATGCAATACACTTTTTGCCTTCAACGGAAGCTAAAGGAAGGGAAGCTTCTTTAGTCTGTCCTGTAAAATCCAATCTCTTTTGGACAAAAATCTTGTCATTTGCATTAATTTATAAAATGTTATCCACACTGATAGTGTGACAGAAGTAGAATAGGAATACAATACTTCCCTATTTCAAAAGAGGGTTGGCAAAATGTTTCAGAGATGAAATGTCCATTGAAATGTTAAGCTAACTGGACATTTACTTTACAAATACTTTTTAAGGTACTCATTTCCATAAGAAACCATCAAATCACAGTTAAACTCCTTTCACACCAAAGATAAAATATTTCAACGGTAGAAAAAAAACCACATGAAAATTTAGAAAACCATTTACAGTTCATACGCCTTGAAAACAACCATTTGCTTTATGTGTGTGAACTGTATACTTATCACATCTTCCCACTTACCCTACCAGGAAAGCCTGACAGCGGCTGCTCTAACATCCATTCCAGCCCACGTTATTTTTAGTTCAATAAGGTCGTAAAAAATCTGAGACTTGTCAGCCGCAGTATCCTCAGATGAATATTCTGTTCCTTCTTATTTTGCTCATTGGCCAAGGCAGATCTTTGTTTTACTACAGTCAGAAAGTGAAACACAAAGCACAATGCCGTTCCTGAGGGGAACTGACTTCTTGGCAATCACTCAAGACGTAATACCAAAACCCCCGAATGTTAAGTCACCTTGATTTTACAGTATGTACCTATATAAAACATCCCTCTTACTCTTTTCATTCATTACCATGCATCTGTGAAATGCCTAAAACAGAATTTAAATGCAGTCCCAGGTGCTTACACACTTTATGATCTGAAAGTTCAAACTTCTGTAGACTCTTAAGGATGAGGATTTTCCCTTAATCCCCCCTCTGCTGATATCAGCAAGCACTTCAAAAGCGTGTTAGGCATCAAAATGTATGACCATAAACTGCTGCACACCAACTGATTATGGCAAGGTCTGTGTCGGGATGGAGTACAAGAGGAAGCACCACGTATGCTCTTTGTAGATGTAAGACTCACAGCGGCGATGATTTAGGTCCAACTAAACCAGAGCTCATTTTAAATGCCTGAAACCCTGGTCTGGATTGATAAACCAATACAATAGACCATGAGTTAACAAAAAATACACACAGTAAACCTAGCTGTGCCTTTATTCACAAGTGATTTTAAAGTGACTGCTTATATAAAGGTGAAAAGTGAAGGAAATGGGCTGCTGTACACTTGCTACATAAATTCTGTAAATGTATTTACAGCCATTTCAACAGGGGTACTCTAACCCACATTGAGGAGCTTTTCTGATTGCTTTTTTCCCTGAGCCATGCCAGTAGTGACCGTTCAAAGTCCATGTATTATCCCTTATTTGAATGCTTCAATGGACTCTTTACATTGCCAACCGTATCAGAGCCCTGTAAGACACGTCGCCTCCTACCCCCAGTTACTTGTTTTCATACTATGACTTTTTCACTGGTGATTTTTCAAAATGTCCTCTCAGCCCATTGCCTGTCCTTCCAGACACTGCAGACCTGATGCGGGTAAATAGTAACAGGGCCACTTCCTTCAAGTCAACAAAGTCCATTTTCTTGGATTAATCTGTTGAAGGAGAGCACTGTCTCCGAATTGATCTGCTGTGCTTGTTATGCTACCCTAATGCACCATTTGCACTTTTGGGAAAACGCTAAATGAGATTACTGTCTAACATTAGATGGCCATAAACCACGTGCTGCAGGAAAGAAGGATGCATCGTGCATTATGGTAACCCCACCAAAGGGTTTGCGATTGATTTCTGTTTGTTTGGTGATGGAGGACAGGACTCTCAGATGGATGGTCAGAAACAGCCAACAGCAAGGAAATTCCTCAAAAGGGAAATGAATTACGTCCCTCACAGAGAACTTCTCTAAAGTTCCTATCAAAATGGGTCATTTTACAGAAGCATTTAAGGGTCTGTAAGGCTTGACTGAAGACAAAGCTTGTAAGAAAAGGTAAACAGCGCAAAACCAGTAATTACGTGGAATCTGTAGTGAAAATGTGGAGATTTTAAATACCTGACTGGATAAAGCAACCTGGTCTGGTCCCAGAGCTAACCCTGCTTCGAGCAGGAGGTCCCTTCCCTGAACGATCCCATGTCCTGTGAGAGAGATCTGTATTTTGGGACATGTGGCAGGGAAAGTGTCCTACCATCTTATTTATTTGTTTATTTAATCACTTAGGAATTTCACAACTAAACTGAAGGAAAACCACACACCGTAGTAGCGAGCCAGGACTGCCAGGGAACGCTGACAGATCTCCACCTCCATTCAGTGCAACTCAATAACTACTTTACAGAATCAACACACATGAAATCTAAAATGCCTTTCTTAGCAAAAGTCAATATGAACAGCAGTCTGATCTGCACCGCGCACCACATGGCACGCTAGTAACGACGTGTTTTTATTAAGTTTACAATTACTTGATCTGCTTTTGCTTTCCCAGCTGCTCCTCAAGCACCTCACATGCTAGCAGAGTGTTTCGATGTGCTGGAATAAACCTCTGAGGGAGCCGCGCACCCACCTTTTCCATCAAGCTGATGCACCGCAATCTCATAAAGGTAATAGGATGAAGACACAAAAGAAAATGAGAGACAGTTTTAAAAAGAAATCTTCTATGCTAAAGCATGAAGAGAAAATTTAATGAAGGTAACTTTGTACTCATCTAGCCTCTCTCAAAGAGCATATCTTACTGTACTCCTGGGGGCGTCGAGAAAGGAGCCCCTTCGTGGCATTCAAACAAAATGTCTGCTAAAGAGGAAATTTGAAATCACCACAGTAAGCTTTACAAGTTTTGTGATAAAACTGACATTCTGACTGAAGGAATCTGAATTGCTGATGAGTCTCCAACTGTGCAGGTATCTGGCATAATCCCACCAGATCAGGACTTCAGGCAATTGTCATAAAATATGGGAAAAAAAAATAGCAACAGAAAACGCGCACGCATTACAAAAAATAGTGCCATTAGATGGCCAGAAGTATCCAGGGCTTAATTTTATTCCTCATTAAAATGCTGACACCTATCAAAAGTATCTGGTTTTATTTGTGTAACCCTTGGCATCTAAGGCTACCTCCATACTACTAAATAAAACAGACTACAGATGATCCTCTGGGTCCGAGGCCAAGCACCACGATACAGCACAACCTGCATCTCTTAAGTGTAAAATCTGGCCTTCCCCTGCAAACAAGCAGCTCAGCACATCCAAATCCAAACTGCAAACTAGGGATGGTCTCCAGCATGTGCTGTCCCCCCAGCCATGCCCCGTGTTGTCCAGGGAAGTCTTAGCTCCAAAACAAAACCCTATAAACAAATCTGCTACCAATTAGACCCAACAGACCAGCACAGCAGGGCACTGGAGATGATGTCCTGACCTGTTTTATTTACTCCTACCGATGCAGGAGAGGAGCCACGTTGTGACCAGACCCCAATTGGGCTAGGTAGCATGCAAAGGAAAAAAAAAAAAAGAAAAAGAAAGGAGGATGTTTCTTTTCTCAGCATGCTTATAATGCACATAAAGATAAGAAACAACAACTTGATGGTGAAACAAAAGGAAACTGAGGCAATCTGGACTCTTGCGATAGGCAGCCCGCTAAGTATACCAACAGCCTAATTGTTTTAAAGTGTTTTATGAGCAACCGATGGGATTTTTAGAGGGATTTATGGGAAGTTAATCAATTAACGTTGTCTACGTCTAGCAGAAATTCCTTCCGAGAAACAGAGAAACTTGACGCTTGTTTGGAAACTGGATGAGTGAGGGATGGAAGGTGGCACCGTGAGTGTTTCAGAAAGTATATAGGGAATTGGCAACAGCAGGGAAGCAGAAATGGGACATACAGGGCTTCAAAAGCGAAGATGTGCGACTTGTGCGTCCAACTGAAGGGGAAGCCAGTGGCAGGATGAAAGGAGATGATGTGCACGTGGGGTAGGACGTGATCTGCAGCACTGCTTTCAATAGACATCATCAGGGTAAGATTTCACTTCTCATGGCCAGGGGGCAAGCAAAAATAATACAAAAAATGTTGCGGTAACTGGGAGCCGGAATTGTGATGGATTTAGCTGAGCAGATGGACAAGAAAGGCCATATTTGAGATATTTTGCATAGAGTCATCAAGAGCAAAACGTAAGCCTAGCTGAGAAGACCTAGAGAGAAACAGCAGCAAGACAGTAGTATTTTCCATCATGACACAAAAAGGTGGTGCTGAGGGGGTTATTCTTTTTCTAAGATTACCTCATCCAAAAAGAGCCACTTCCAACAGCATCTCTGC